TTCTATTCTATTCTATTCTATTCTATTCTATTCTATTCTATTCTATTCTATTCTATTCTATTCTATTCTATTCTATTCTATTCTATCCTATCCCATCCCATCCCATCCCATCCCATCCCATTTAAATTCTATTCTATTCTATTCTATTCTATTCTATTCTATTCTATTCTCTGTGTTTCTTTTTCTCTCTTTCTTTTTCTCTCTGACTTAAGCTTGTGCCCTTAAAAAAACTTCAACAAGGGATTCCCCCCCCCCCCCATTGAGTGGAATAACCTTCCCCTAAATAGAAATTTTATTTGGGGATCTCCGGGGGGATCTCTGAGCATGGACAGAAGTCTTTCCAACCAAATTTAAATTTGCATTAGGTTGGGCATTTCTGAGCAGGTCTAAAGTGCCCACCAAGCAGGAGAATAGCAGACCTGATGGTGCAGTTGAAGTTCCAGCTCTCCCCCACTCTTTTCAATTGCTCATAGCAAGACTTTTCTGCCACTCCTTCCTTCCCAGCTGGCCATTGGAAAAAAGATTTTATATATACATTTTGGCCAGAATAGGTTTTATACAGGTAGTCTTCATCATACGACTGTTCATGGAGCCTGCTTATTGCGGTCATAAGCCAGGATGGTGGTTAAAAACGGTTTCTTTCCAAAGTTTCCAAGAAAAAAAAAATCTTGCCTGGTTTGGTATCTTCTAAGGATGGTTGATCCACATCTGCAGCTGTGTGGGATGGATGATGGAAGTCGTAATCTGGCACAGCTGGAGATTTGAAGAAGGTGGTACTGAGTTTTTACAGAAGAGAAAGAAGAATGGATGAAAGAAGAAATGACAGGTTGCCATCTTGTGGCCAGAAAGAAAGAAATGGGAGATTACGGCTTGCTTATGTATTTATTTATTTTGGTGTTGCATCTGTTCTTACAAAAAATGGTGGTTTCTCCTCCTCCTCCTCTCCTCCTTTTCCTCCTCTTCCCCCTCCTCCTCTCCTCCTCTTCCTTCTCTCCCTCCTCTCC